CATTTTCTAATGTTGTTGTAAAAGGAATTTTTATATCTGTATAATAATAATTAACAGCCTTCTTTAATTTCAATTGTTCAATTTCTTTTACTAAATAATTTATTATTTTTGACCTATTGTCTATATCTATTTTTTCATTTAAAGCAAATTCTATGAAAATTTTTAATATTTCATGAGCTTTTATGGCGCTTTCGTTTTTTAAAGATTTCAATACATTATTAATAAACTCATTTGATGATAAATGTATTAGTGGAGTCCCAATCACAGTATATTCTTTAACAAGATTTTCATTAAGTAATGTGTTCATGGCATTGATGGTTACTTTATGATCAGACAAGTCCATTGCTACAAGTAATATAAAAGCGTTGCCTCTTGCTAGAAAATATGGATAATAATTGAGCATTTTTTCCAAAAGTTTTATCATTTGAATTTTATTAAAATTTTGAGAGTTTGCTATTTTTCGATACAAATAATCTTTCCGTTGAACACACGCAGAGACTAAAGCAAATAAATTTTCACATAGTGTTAATGCAATTATAGTATCATAAAAACCTTTGAAATTGCCATCTTTTGTATTAACCATTTAATTAAATTTTCCATCAGAACAATGCTTATTGAAATATTACTTAATATATTTAATATTGTTCTACTCATATTCTCTGAAACAGTAAAATTACAACGACCTATATGTTCGATTTCATCATAACTACATCGTGAAAGATCTTCAACTTTTAACAATTATCTGATTGATTACTTTTGACTCAAGATTTTCAAAATATGTTTCATCAGTAATATTTGTTAAAGCGCAAACTTCATCAAGAATAAATTGTATGGTTTCAATATCTGTACGTGATAAATATAATTTTTCTTTAAATTGACATGTATCTGTAACTGATAGAACTCTTGTGAATTCAATCCAATTATCTGCTGTAATTTGAGAGCGTCTTGTTAAATTCATTGTTGAATGAAGTAGTTCTTCTACATATCATGAATGCGATGGTACTTTTAAGGTTTGCATTATTGAATTCCAAGTATGACCATCTATGAAGTAAATTCTATTGAAAAACTGTGTTCTTCTTCCACTAGTAAAGTTGCTCTCGTTCAATTTCTATAGCATTTGTTAAATACTTTTTTCAAAATTCTCCCGATTCATAAAATAATAATCTTACTGATGCAATAATTCGATTATTGAGACTTTCAATATTGTCAAATGTTAAAATTAACTCATCAACTATTTGTTGAATGAATAGTGTCAGTTCTAATTCTTTATAATGAACAAAGCTAAAACTCTTTTCCAAAACTTGAAATTTAAAAATTGACTCTTGAAGATTTTTTGTTAATATAAAAGATTCATATAATAATTCATACCTTTTTTCATCATAAAATTCAGCTACTTGATATACTGGTCTCGATTTATAGTAGGGATTACATATTGATAGAATTTTTTTAAATAAACAACCTTTAATATGTGCCTTTTCCGTAAATTCAGGTAGTAAATTTTTGTAGATCTTAAACCTATCTAAATGTTTTGATAGAATTTCAAAGTGGAACAATATAACTAATGGAATCAATTCACGGTTTCTATTGAAATATCCTTCTTTAAAGAAGACCTCAGAAATGCCATCTACTAAATGCGATACATTTGTATTGATTTTCTCTAAATAATTGAAGAATGCTATTGGTATATCATCCTCATTATTTGACATAAAAGTAAATATATCTGTAGGCCATAGATATGCTCGAACTGGTCTATAAAATTGTATTGTATCACTAATTTTTAAATATACGAGGACTATCTTGCGATGGGATCTTTCAATATATACATAAGTTGTTTTATTCGATTCACAAAGCTCTTTATAAATGTTTTCTTTTCTTTTTTTATAATATCATTTAGAAAATTGAAGTCTCCTAGGACAACTAATACAATGAATGCTTCTCTTCTTTCACTCGCATTTAATTTTTGACTGCTTATTTGTTATCGCAATTCTTCTCTTAACTCTATTATAGATTTTTCTTCAAGGAAAAATTCGATGATTTTTGTTTGTCAAAAATGATTCTTTGTAGATTTCATTCTGATCAAATATTAGCTTTATCGTCCAGAGTTTCCTCTAAGTACTACTTTAGCAAGATTTATAATTATGCTATAAGCTGCATCATCTCTATCCCAAGCTTCTTGGTAATAATAGGTGAATGATGTTCTTTCATTATTATTTAACCGAAGAAATTGAGCTATTTCATGATATTCTGAAATACCTGATGGAGTGTTATAATTTTTATAGCCTACATGAAAGAGCTGTAAGTAAAGACAACCAAATATTATTTTTTACGATAAATTTGATCATTTTTGGATTTTTGTTTATCGTATTTTTGAATTTAAATTGAGTTAAAACTGCTTCATCTTTGATGCTGTTTGAATAAAATCGTAAGACTGAATCGATTGGTCTATTCCAAATGATAGAATCATCGTGTAAATTTTTTAGAAGTATTTCATGAAACCTTGACTTATACCATTTAAATTGATATGTAATGTTGGCGCATGCACCTACATTTGCTGCATTATTTATTTTTTCAATTTCAAAAAATATGATTCAATTAATTCCTAATGTTCTTTTAATCTTAAGAACCCAGAAATATTTTTATAATCAAACAATAGCATATCTACTAATTTTCGAATGAATTCATATTCTGTTTGTTTTGATAAAAAGTACATATCATTTTATCAATCAATAATAACAAATGTTATTAAAAGTGTAGCAGATTTTGTGTTATATGAAATTTGAGTAAAGCAGGTCGATATTTAAAAATGTCAACAAGCTTTGAGATTAAATAACCCATGTTTATTTTATGACTCTTCGATGATAGTTTTTGTTAATCTATTAAACATTTTCTTATTATTTCTTTTAGAATGTTTTCTGATAATCCTTCAACTTTACGAAGTAAAAGTTTGGCTATTTTTTGCATTATTGACCATAGTAGAAGAGTAATTAATCGAAGTTCTTGACTTACATAATATATTGCAGAATTAATATTAGAAGTAACTAGTCGTTCTATCATCTGTTCCACAGCTTTTTCATATAAATCAATTCTTTCAAAATATCTTTATTTTTTATAATATTAACGTATGATTGATCAGTTTTATATTCTTTTATATGGTTTTCTCTTTTAATCGATAAATTTTTAATACATTTCATATATGAGTTACAAAATAATTTGAGAGCATCATTCTTCATGTCTTCAATAGTTAATATTGGAATATAAAAATGGATTTCCAATAGTTGAACTTTTAGTATTATTTATTTTTTTTATTCATAGACTGAATAAGTAAGTTCATTAAATTTTGCATGGTAATCTCTTTATGCTTCGTTCTACTAATGTATTTATTTCTTTCATTAAAATCAGTTCGATCTACATGAATCGGACCTTCATCTAATCCTTCAAAAATAAATAAAATATTTCCATGTATTAATGATTTCATAATCAAAAATGATCGTTCTTTTCGTTCTTTATCATTAAAATATGTTAAATGAAAAGTATTTTTATAGTTAAACCTTTTTATTTTTGATAGAATAATTATTATCAAATGAAATATTTTTCTCACCTAAACATTGTTTAGCCATGTTATTTACTAACCATTTTGATAGAGTAGTTTTACCTGAACCAGGATGACCTAAGATAATAAAATGCTTAAATTTACAAAATACTTGTTGAATTTGATATTGTTTTGTTTCTTTTAAGATTATTTTTCTCTAGAATATTTTGTTTTAATCGATTCACTTTATTTTTGATAGTAGTTGCTTTATTTTTCGTAAATATTTTTTGTTGCTTAAAAAAACATTTAGCCATTGATCAATCATAAAATTTCTATATTTAGTAGCAGGATTGAATGTATTTGTTTTCATGATAACTCTATGTAATTGTTTTCTTTCATCTTCATTTAAAAAAAAACAGGAGATAAAGCTTACGCTTCAATTCGTCATTCATTTCGATCGTTTTCATTGCAGTTATCGATGAATGTGTTGGATCGAATTTTAATTTTGCATAAATTGTTTGCAAAGGTAAACTTATATTAGTATTAGGATATCCAAATATTGATACATATTCATTCATAAGATAATATAGATATTTTTCTCGAATACTTTTTTTTTTGTTTGTAAATAATAAATATACATATATTAATGGTCTAAATGATTTAAGTCTTTTTATATATTGTAGTAAATCTTCAAAAGTATTCCTATATTGAATTTCTGTAATATTTTACATCAATCAAAACTTTTATAATTGATTAAATATTTTATTATTATTCGATTTAACAAGTTTATAAATTGACAACGATTTTTCATCTTTTATATTCAATATCCATTTCAATAAATTCGAAAAATTTGGATCAGACATTCCGACATCGTATCCAATAAATAACAAGTTTTGTTTCCTAAAAGAGTGTGGCTGTGGATGAAGATAACATGAATACTCACACCTTCGTATTCCTAGGTCTTTCGGTATCTCGCTCAAATTGTAGAAATATTATCAAAAATTCTGCATTGAATTCAAGCATGAAGCTTTTATTTTTATGGTTGTATTTAAATAAGTTTATCGTAACTTATTTTAGTATGCCTCAAACTATGCTGTAAATAACATTGATTTCTGCTAATCTCATCAAATATAAAGTCAAAATTAAAAAATTAAAACCATTTTTGGATTGGAATTCATGCTTTTCTGGTTCTCATAGTATGCGTGCAGTCTATATAGATCAAGTTGCTTTCTTTCATGTTTTATTTTAATAATTGTTTACACTAATCAAGATATTTTTGTCTGAGGAAAATAGTCTTTTAGATATTTAGTAATTTTATATCCTCCACCTAGAGATAAACAACGCAGTTTTGCATAATTAGTTCGCGTTGCATGTCTTGTGAAATTTTGCGTAATCCTCTTCAGTGCTTCATAATTGACAGAAAGAATAACATTATTCGACAAACATATTTTCGTATCAACTAGAAATTGTTCGACCTAATCATTATGAGCTTCAACAAGATCAAGCTTAATAAGATGAAGATATTTAATAATTGATAAATCTTCATGATATAGTTAATTTTTTCATAAATGGAAATGATTGAGCAATTTGAAGAAAAAATTCATGTTCAAATGGATGTTCATCATATAATGATACTTTATGAACATATTTAAATAATCCATCTGGAAAATTATTTGTAATATTATCATAATATTTCACGCATTCTATATGGATCTGAATAAAAATAGCAATAACTACATTGTCTTTTTTTGAAATAAACAACACAAGAAATAATTTTATTATCTTTGAATGTATATTGAATATCTTCATTTGAAGGTAAATTAATCAGATTAGGTAAATAATTAAATGAACGAATATTAAATATAAATTTATTTAATCGTGGCATATAATTGATAATATTTTCTTCTAAATGATTCCCATCAATAAGTTCATTATCATACTTGATTTTAAGATGTAAATCAAGTTTATATAAATTAGAATAATGTGAAGCAAGAAGAATACTTTCCATAGATATTGATTCCAGATCAAGCCATTTGATTTTATGATAAATTTCAGGTAAAATTTGTAAACCAAATCGATCAAGTATTAGACCAGGTAATGGATAGGTGAAATCATTCCAAAAATAAATTAATTTTATATGACTTGTCAAAATTGAATCATGTGCTTTTGTATTCAGTCGTTTATTAACACCTATTAAAGAGTAGAATACTTCGATATTAGACAATTTTTCCAAAATAATTGTAAGAATTTCATCTGATAAATCATTTATTTTAATCGATAAATGTTCCATATATATATATGAGCCTTGCTGTATTTTTTGTGTCTTCTAGATATGAAAAAAAATATATGTTAGCGTCCAATCTCGCATTAACCTAGGTCAATCTTAATAATTGTTTACATCGAACTAGTCCAATGTCGGATTGGTACAATACTTTTTCGTTAATATATCAATTAATCTTTCGATGGATGCTAGACTCGAATTCTTTTCAGGAACTGTGCTGACACAATTTCATTTCGGGGGATACAATTGTTGTTAGAGAAATTAAAGGAGACCTTGTAAAGTTGGGAATAATTTTCTACGGAGCAAGAGTTTTTATGAGAAACTGTCATTCAGTTTTTGAGTCTGAACTTAGCTTTTTCATAGATGATTGCAATACTTAAAAGAACATTGTCTCAATACAAGTCAAAAAAAGAATTGCGTCTATACGGGATTGGACGCTAACGTATATAAACATGCCCATTGGTAACAGTCCAGAATGTCCTTTTGAAAATGTCCTTGGACGAAATGTCCTCGAATTTCGTCCTCAGCAAAAATGTCCTTCAAACTTTTGTCCCTAGTAAAAAATGTCCTTTGAAAAATGTCCTGCATATAAAAAATGTCCTTTCAGTAAAATTTCAAAAACAGTTTAGATTAGTGTTGATAAAATTAATTTTTTTTATAATAACGAACCAATTTTTATTTTATTTTTCATTTACACAAAAAGGAAAGTCCACGTAATAAATCATGTGCTGTGATTTTGTTACTATTAAATCGATCATATAATTGTTGTATTCGTTGTTCAGCAATTTCTTGTAATGGTGCTATTGAAATTTTATTGAAATTTTTCAATTGATATTGATAACCATTGATAGTTAACATAGGTTTCCGTTTATTTGATGTTGTTTTTGTAATTGAGGGTGAGGGTGAAATTGGAAATAATGAAGATGATGATTCAATGGATTTTGATGATGAAGATGATGATTCAGTTGATTTTCATGATGAAGATGATGAT